TAAATTTTCTCGCTCTCAGGATGCCATGCTTGCCACTTCCAGGCATAACAAAAAATAAATGCTATGATAATATTAGGAAGGAAATAACATTTAACCACATCCTAAAGCATAGGCAGTTCAAAAACAACAAGTTTTCCACCAATAGATTTAGCAATGAATAGATTTACCAATAGATTTAAAGTGTGGATTGTAAAGCCACACTTCAACGAGAGAAAAAAATTAGACGTTAGAACAAGTAACTCAAGGTAATGCGGGCAAGCAGGCAGTTGGATGACGAGTACGTACTCAGGATGATGCCAAATGGGTTAAGGCATTTTCTTTCCTCAAAAAGTACAAGGGCAATTATTCTTGATGAAGCCATTACATTACTGAAAATAATTTCTGCTCTCTATAACCTATTGTAGCATTTCTAAGATGGTCCCTAACTCATTTTGTTTGATATAAATTTGATCAAATTGGGAGTGTCCTTTATAGGAAAGCTATACATAAGTCCTGGATGCTGCAAGTGTAAAAACAAAATTTTATTTTTATTTTTATAGCCTGACTGTCGTGTTAATGATGACATGCGGTTCACTGCCTACAAACAGTACGTGCACAAAATGTTTTCAAGATGGGGGCCAAATGTTAAGAATTTGGAAGCTATCAGGAAATCCTTGGAGAATAGTGACATGACTCTGTTACACAGCCCAGTGGTGAGTCCCTATCTCATTTAATGTATTGCATGTTATTATCTGGACTACATCTGATCATTTTCTTGTCAGCTTGGAGGTGTGGAGATTGACCTTGTGAAGCTGTATAAAACAGTTCAAAGCCTTGGAGGGTTGAAGCAAGTCATTGAAAGGCAGAAATGGACAAAGGTGACTGAGATGATGCAGATACCAAAAACTGTCCAGGACAGAGTAACCAAACTGGATGACATTTATTGCAAGTACCTCTTGCCCTATGAGACCCTTTCTGAAGGTAAGTTGATGGATGCTGTTGATTCATTGGTGTCCAAATCTGAGAGGTCTTTGACTCTTTACCATGGTGATAACTTTCTCAGGAGAACGAGAGGAACTGTTATGTCAGGTGGAAAAAGAGCATGAGGATGCTGAAGCATCTGCAAAGAGTGAGAGTACCAGCAGTTCAGAAGAGGAAGTGGATGACTCAGCCAATGAATGTGTTGTGAAGGTAAGCAAGACTTAACCCTTTCCATAGTGTCACCTAAATAGGCACATTTTCAAAGGAATTGAAAGTATGTAGCAGCATGTGCAGCAAAGTTTTTTGAGGGAGGACGGAGTCCTCAAGTCCAATTTATTATTATGATTATTTTCATTTGAATTTGCCATGGCAGTGAGTTAACACTTAAAATTGTATCTAAATATGGTATTCAAGCCATTGTTCATGTCATGTAAGCTAATGTATCACGTGCCCTTGTGCAGGGACGAAGCATTTCACTGAGCCAGTTTTTTCGGACGGCTCGGAATCTGAATCTGATGTTCAAGACTGAG